ATTTTGTGGGCATTACGTTATATCATTGTGATATGAGCCATAGGAGGAGGATGACTTAATAGAACACAAAGGAGCCGGCTCCACCGGAGTGATACCATACCACGGCCTCACCGAAAACCGACGTGAAACAACGCTTACGTTGTATTTCGTCGTGTGAATGGGGTTACCGGAGGCCCAATTACACCCTCCCTAGTCTCCCGAATACCCGAATCCTCCACAATCCTCAAATTCCCAATTCCCAAAAGACCGGTAACGCACTTGTAACGCCTTGGTGTTTCGGGTGTCCATGCGCGGCGCCGATTGCTTACCATCAGATGATCTGTCTGCTCGTTTACCGGCTTACACAAAAAAAAGACAGCCATATACTATATACCTTGCCACGGAGCAGGACTTGGAACGGGTTGGTATTAGCCAGGAAGAAATTAAGAATTTGACACTTTCTCCCACCTCATCCAGAGCCTGAGGAGTCGACGATGTTCAATTTTCACAAAAACAGGTTGTCAGTGAATGTTTCAATTTTGGGGTCACCATGATACAGTAGCTGTATATTAGTTAGGTGAATCTTTTAAATTGAAATGGGAGGATGGTATTTGTGGTAATGCGAAAATGGGAGGATGGTATTTGTGGTAATGCAAAAATGGGAGGATGGTATTTGTGGTAATGCGAAAATGGGAGGATGGTATTTGTGGTAATGCGAAAATAACTCCTTCTGTATATTGTTCTTTCACACCTTAACGGCTAAAAGGATTTTGAAGAAATTTGGTATGAAGGTAGTTTGAATCCTGGAAAAGCAAGGCTTTACCGCGGCAGAACTTCTCATTCCCACGAAAAAATCTAAAAAGTTATATCGATAACGATGACTGCCTCGTTAGCCGAGTGGTTGCAAGTGCGACTGCCGGGCAAGGGGTCTCGGGTTCGATTCCCGGGTCGGGCAAAGTATTACTGGGTTTTAAAAACAATCTCAGAAGTAGCACGGAGTCTGGAATTGTGCCCGGTATATGGCAATAGGCTCACCCCCTATTACATGAGAATCATAACATAAATAGTGAAAAGTGGGTGTTACATTGTACAGTGGCATAATGTGCAACTCTGTCTACCCCTTCGGGGATAAAATGCGTGATGTTATGTTATGTTATATCGATAACTGAATTCCACGCAAGCAGGCAAATCGAAGATACTTTTTACCGTAACGTGATTTTTTAACTGAAGGTTGTTGAAGGGATGGAGAATGCGAGCGAAACCGCGGGTAAAAGCTAGTTGTAAATGAGGATAAAAAAAATCTAAACGCTTAGGTACCTAAATGAACGGGATTTTCCACGTGATATGAATGCGCACGTAAAAATGGCATATAATGTGACACCTCGCTTCAAATTCACATATAAAACAGCGATTCATGTGCGATGTTAGACGTGTGAGGGCGTTACGAGTGATATTTTTCCTAAACTCTAAAAACAATTTTTGCAACGTGTCAAAAGTCTATTTTTTACATCTATCATCGTGGGATCTACCATAGTAAACAGGGAATTTGTTAAAGGTAATTTTTTAAACGTTTATATTATCTAGCCCCTTTTGTTTGTCGCGGAAAACCTAACGGGTAACCGTGGCTTCGGCTCGACGTGCAGGAGAAGGAACGGGGTGGTTTTTAGTCAGTAAGAGTCTGATACTCCCTCCCGCCTCACCCAGGCGAGAGCAGTCATTCGATGATTTTCCCCCCTTAAAAAAAAGCCCCTTTTGTTTGTTTAGGTCTAGTAATTGGAATTACTTTTTTGAAATTTCCTATTTCATGGCGACAGACTGATCTGATATTTGTTTGGTATACGCTCTTAATCTGGTTAATCAAAGAATAATACAATCAATTTTTTTCCACAACTACCTCATATTAGCAATGCATCAGTTTAAAAAAAAAAATAATTTACCTTCATTTAACTTATTATTACATTGTAAAGGAAGCTCGCGGGGGAAAGGGGGCGCGGATAGAGGGACGGGACGTGACCATCTTAATAAAAAAATTTCTTACAACGAAAAAGTTCTGAATCATTTCAAACCTGACGTACTGCTCGCTTCTTCTTCTCTTTATCTCTGAGTTTGTTTCGGCATTTCTTCTCAGAGTAGTCAGTTAGGAAATATCGGCCTCATCGTTCGCTTGATAAAATTGACGTGTAAAAGTGCTGCCTTGCAGCCTATTTGCAGAAATAAATTCACTTGTTTCACTTGCTTCCTTAGCTCAACCTTTACCTACTTGTCAATATAACGTTTTTCTATCTCCCTCGGTATTTACTTCTGACCACAACCCCAACACCTTCGTTATGAATATTAAACGAAAGGGTTCGATTGATAGAATAAGAGATCATTGAAACCATATAACATAAAAAAAATTATGACTGTACTACTTCTTTTTTTTTGTAACTGCAAGTTTTTAAGTTGAGATCTTCGATATAGAAAAATTTTGTATTTGTTGACTGTTGCGAATGCTATTTGCAAATTTTCCAGCAGTTGAATTTTAAATATCCAAATGGATCTTCCATTTAAATATCAGCGTGGGCCTCCTGTCAGGTGGGTCGACGACATTGTAGATTCGTGGGAGCTACTGGATGCAAGTGGCAAGCTTTTTCCAAAGTCAAAGTCTTAATAATTAATTTTAATTGGACTATAAAGGCACTATTGAACGTCAAAATAAAATATTGTAATACTAAAAATGTCAATCTGTCGGTCAGTCCTCTAGAGAAGCTATTTGCTCGTTCCAAAGTGCTGCTGCCGTCTGACGTGGAAGACTAAGGGTCCATTGTTCATCAGAGGACTGTCTTCTGACTGATGTTGATTCCTGTCTTAGCAACATTTATCTAGTCTGTCCTTCGGTGATAAGGATCTTAATGTGTTCTAAAAATATTTGTTTTTATTTTACAGAAAATCAATTCGCAGAGGGTTTTAAAATGGAACCAGCATCGGAAATTGACAAACTTTATCATAAAAATGAAAAAGGTGAAGATGAAAAAGAAGAGCAAGAACAATAATATTAATTACTTTGATGCAAAACCTAGGTCCAATAGAATTGTATGTACGCGGTTAACCCCCGAAAAAATGCACGAAATTGAAAAATGTGAGATGAAACATTTTAAATTTCATCGGAAAGGTCAGAGAAAATAATATCTGAGCGAAGACAGGATGGATCACCAGCTATAAAATATGTGAAAGCTAAAGATGTAATCTACCCAAGATAACAGCTTGGGTAGGATTAAATCTTTAGCTCTTGGACGCGTCTGCATAATCAGGCACACTGGCACCTCATTTCAAAGAGCCATCAGACCACCACAGATGGGGCCCAACACCACAGGTCCCAAAGTCAAAGCAGGAGTTGAAACGAGCTGGTTCTTAATCATTTACAATACCGATGATAGTGGAGTATTCGCATTCAACAGTTTTCTGTCAGTAGAAGAGTCTGACAGAAAAAAAGGCACATAAAGCTATACAGAGCCAGAATAAGCTGACCATGATTGGTGTATAGCTTGGGGTGTCGACCCTTTTTTTCAAATGCCATTGTGAAAAAAACATATTGCTATGATTCGTCTGATGAGAACCCAATCTTCAAACGACCTAAAAATGACAATGAAATTAAATTTTTACTTATAATAAGTACATCGACTTCAACTTTTCATCATCATGTCAGTCATAGGACGTCTACTACTGAACGTAGGCCTCCCCCAATGACTTCCATCTAGACTGGTTGGAAAGCGACCTCCAGCGGCTCTCTGCGACCTAAATCAGGTCGTCTGTCCACCTTGCGGGTGTGTGTCCGCGCGTTTGCCGGTATGTGATCTCCACTCAAGAACCGGTCTGCCCCAGCGGCCGTTGATTCTCCGCGCTATATGCCCTGCCCACTACCACCACGACTTGCTAAAACCTTTGCGAAGGTATTCCATACCATCGTAACAATCAAGTGGAAATTTTAATAATCTAGCTTAAAGTCAAGGCAGGGAAAACTGTTTTCTACGAGTTGCAGTAATTAGGTTACTTTTTCGTTAAACTTTGCGTTTTTAAACATTTTTTATATATGTGTACGTTTTAATAGACTGAGAAAATATTTCCTGATATTGTATAGAAAATAATATTGTTTAAATGACGCCGTCCTTTGCATTTAATATGTATGTTTAAATGTATATTATTACCAATTTAGTTCTAATAAATATAAGTTTTTTTTTTAATTGTGTTTATTCTTTTACGAATCCTTTAGTTTTTGTTTATTTCTATTCGAGTATAAGTTCAATGTCATAAAATATATCCAAGTGCATTTTTTGAAAATTTCTTAAAACAAAAATATTGATTGGAACCTACAACTAGATATTAACATCAACAATAAGGCAAATAAAACTGTTGACATTCAAAAGTGCCTTCCTGGTTTAGTTACAATAAATGATTTTGATTTTGACTTTAAAATATTATCCTATCACCCTGTATATAAGATAAAACTAGACAACACATCAATCATAATTAAAAAAACAATAAAAAAGCTGCTAAGTACGTATTGTTCAGTCAAACCCATAGTAAACTGTAGGCGGCATCATCATATTATCAGCCGACGCCGTCCATTGTCCAACATAGACGCGTAAAGTAAAAGTCGAATTTTTTCCTCTACCGTGAAACTCACACCAAGATACTGAATGATTTGAGGATCACAGGGATTCTGATAATTTAATTGTAGGAGAGCCATGCCGTCTCGAGTGACACCTCGGCCTCACAGTGAAACAACGCTTGCGTTGTGTTTTCTCGTGTGAGTGAGGGCAGTGGTGTCCCAATTACCTCCCTTCCCAATTTCCCCAATACCTGAATCGCCAACAATCCTCAAATTCCTAGTCCCCAAAAGGTCGGTAACGCAGTTGTAACGCCTCTTGTGTTCCGGGTGTCCATGGGCGACGCCAATTGCTTACCATCAGGTGATTCGTCTGCTCGTTTATCCTCCTATATTCCAGAATAGCCTAGCTGATCCCCGAATTATTCTGAAACTTGATGAACTTTTGGTACTAGTCCCTCAGAGAGTCGATCGCCCAGCCAACGCGCCATTTTCATTGATTACAAATACAATCATGAAAATATTCTGTGTGTCTGTGTTTATAATCGTTATAGTGGAATCATTACATCTGCCATTGTCAGAAGAGAAAGAAGGATTGTCAAAAGGGACGGTAATAGCAAATATGACGTCACAACTACACCCAATTCAGGTGTGGACAAATTCTCGGAACTGGACTACGCACGCGCCTTCAAAAGTGGTGAAAAATGGTATTTATTTTCATTATCTATACTTTTATACCAATATATAAAACTGAAGACAATCTTTTTCGTTTGAATTCGATAATAATAATTTTACTTAACGCTTACCACAAAACCAGATGGTGGCCATCCTAATAAAAATCAAATAATCTGCGGATGCTATAGATGGGAACTAAATAATTATTAATAATAATTGGTATTTTTGTTCGTATTAATTATATCAAAATGCTATTATTGATTTTGTAATGTATTGTGATTCTGTAACAATAGTTTGGTCATTTTTTGTAGGTATTAAAATTATATATTTCCTTGCTGTGCCAGACTGGGTCCACAATGATCTGTATTTTTCTATGTTACCACTGTAGTAGTACCTAAGGTGTGGTAGTAATAAGTATACATACACGTGTAATCCTTTCCTATATAACCCAATTTATTATTATAATAAAGGCAGTCTTAATTCATCATTTGATCGTTTTACTCATCTCCTGGCATGCGCCTTACACCACCTAAGTAAAACATCGTGGAACCGGTGGAACGCAATAAAGAATTTGAATTTGAAATAGTCGTAGAATGTACATATATATATATATATAACTCGGATAAAGTCACTTGCAGTTGGTAGCTTTTGGAACCCACACCCTCGTGCATGAGAAGCGGGCCACCAAGACTTTTAATTAAAACTGTTTAATTATAAATTATAATTATGCGTTACTTGTTTTCAGGTACGAATAAAGAAATTCCTTTTGTCTCCTTTCTACCAGCTTCAAAAATAGTTGAATCATACAATGAAGATAAATCAAAGGATGTTAAATCAAGTTACTAATAAAACATTTCAAAAATCCTTTACCTGTATTCAAAGATTTTTTAAAATTATCTTACCTCACACGGTAATCGAACCGACTAAAATCTGTCAAAGTTTGCACTTTTATTGCATAGATCGTTTATTGTTTTCCTTTCATTTATATTTATATAGTTTGTTAGAGAGATTACATCCTTATTGACCCTAACAATGGATACAATAAATGTACAGGGTGCAACTTTTACAGATTTTAGTCGGTTTGACAATCGAGTGCGGCAAGCGAATTTAAAAAATATTTGAACGCAAACTGCGTTTCTTTTCAATAATAAATTGAAAGTTTCTTTGAGTAAAACTTTCTATCTTAAGTATTAAGTACTTCCCCTTCAGATGGCATTACAAAATTCCAGCCTGTATAAGCTGTCGTTGTATGGTATTACCGGATTCTTGTTGAAATGGCTTGAATCTTATCTAACTGAGCGTGAATTCTATGTTGTTGGTGATGGTTTATGGTCTATTTTTTTTAAGGGGGGAAAATCATCGAATGACTGCTCCCGCCTGGGTGAGGCGGGAGGGAGTGTCAGACTCTTACTGACTAAAAACCACCGTGTTCCTTCTCCTGCACGTCGAGCCGGAGCCCCGGTTACCCGTTAGGTTCTCCGCGACTCTGAATCATCAGCCCTATTGGGCCCCATTTGTGGTGGTCTGATGGCTCTTTGAGGCGCGCGCGGAACGCGACGCGCCGTACGCTCGGGATGGTTTTCGGTCTGAGACATTCCCTGTCGTGTGCGGTGAGTCGGGGTGTCATCACGCGGTCGCTCGGAGTGCGCGTGCACTGCCGCGTCCTGCTGTTGTCGTTGCGTTACGTAAGATTATAATTTCACACCTTTAAACCATGAAACTTAATCTTCACACGCTTATTAAATTAATTATAATTTCATGATTATTTTAATTATATTTGTTCTTTGAAGTTAAGGGGTGTGCCGATTTCTATGTACCGAGAGCGATTCCAAACTCCGTGTTTTAATTAAACTGTCAAACACCAAGCGGTCACCGGTGACCGCTACCTATTGTTCCATAATTGTGTCTACAAAACCGGTACTCGACGAGTTAAGTATAATTCTTTTCGGAGCGAGGGGGACTGGGATGCCGTCTCCTCCTTTTGTGAAGCAGTCGTGCTACTGCTAGCTAAGGAGGAGGCGGGACACGTGAGGCAGCGAAGCGCTGCCTCCTCGCAACCCAGCCATCACAACGGACACTCCGGGCGTCGGGGATAGCGGGACGATCTCCGGCCACCGTAAGCGCGGGCCTGCGGACGGCGAGCATGGGTGGCTCACCGTCCGACCAGATCCAGACCCGAGCGTACGGCGCGTCGCGTTCCGCGCGCGTCTCAAAGAGCCATCAGACCACCACGGGTGGGGCCCAACAGGGCTGAAGCCGATTCAGAGTCGCGGAAAACCTAACGGGTTACCAGGGCTCTGGCTCGAAGTGCAGCAGTAGGTACGAGGTGGTTTTTAGTCTGTAAGAGTCTGACATTGCCTCTCGCCTCACCCGGGCGGGAGAAGCCATTGGATGATTTTCCCCCCTCAAAACAAAAGAAGAAAGAGCTGACACAAATGCATTCTACGACTTAATCAAGAGTTTATATTTTTTAGAATCATGCTGTACATCAAATTAAAAATTAATTTCCATGATTATGGTACTTTAGTTCTACATTCTGATACATATAAGACAGTCAAACATTTGATTGACAGCCAATATACAAAAGTTGTTTAAAAAAATCGATCTAAAATGGAGACTAAATTCTTGTTTATTTTAGTTTTAGTAATTGGAATTGCCACGCTAGCTAATTTATCAACAGCTCCGAAGGCAGCAATTCCGCAAGAATCAGAAACTTCATTAACAGGCTTAATTCGGGCACGTACCTATGGTAATTATTATATTTATTATTTTAAACTAGTAAATTATGTTAAAAATTAGACATGTATTTGTTCTTTACTTAAAAACTCGATTACTTTCGACGATATACTGATTAGAAAAATCAAGTGACGTCACAATTTACGGTGACTTAGTGACCAATTCCGATACTTAACCTCCGCTTTATCTAAGTCTTGTAACCTTATATGACTAAAATAAAAAAATACGTGTCTAATATATTTTCACTATCTAACTGATAGATTAATTAGATTTTTAATATTCATACCCTGTCAATTACCCTATTAGAGGACAAATAAGGTTTTTTAAAGACAATGGATCGGCTCCATAGATACAACTGAATCGATTTGTTTTAAACTATTTCAGTATAGGAAAGTTTAATTTTTACATACTAAAACCATACGGTTTTAGGAGTGGGATTACCGGAGGTCTGAACTTCCCCCCGATGCACAATCAATGTTCAAATAGGGATTTGTGGTTAGGAAACCACAATGTAGAAAAATGTATTCTCCCGAAAAACGTTCCAAAGGTTCATATTAAATACTAGCAGCCCGTCCCGGCTTCGCACGGGGTAGACAATAATTTATATTTGAAAACTAGCTTCTGCCAGCGGCTTCGCCCGCGATCCCAGGGGGAAAATGCCAATGTATTACTTCACACCATACTCTACCTGTTCCGAATTTCATTCCGGTCCCTTCAGTCGTTTTAATATGACTGAGTAACAAACATACACAAACACATAAGCTCACATATGTTCACCTTTATAATATCGAGTCAAGCTAATTTCAGCCATCGGCCCTACAGTTACAGCGTAAAGTCTATGGATGAGTATTGTAAACGTAAGAGTAAACAAATATAAGCAGAAAGCTCCGAACTGCTAAGCTATCGGGAGTTACACGTGTTATTGTAAGTCAACCATAAAAGATAGACATATGCTGTTGTGGGATATTATTTAGATAATTTTATGTAGAACATTTCCGTCATACATGATTTCTGTAGCTTTAACTATTAAGCCTGCACACGCGACGGAAGCTTAATAAATGGAGTAACTTCTCCCGTTTTCCCAATATTTCCCTTCACTGCTCTGCTCCTATTGATCGTAGCGTAATGAAAAGTATACTATAACCTGCCCAAGAGTATGAAAAATAAATGTGCCAAATTTCGTTAAAATCCGTCGAGTAGTTTTTGTTTCCATAACGAACATACAGACAGACAGACAGACAGACAGACAAAAATTTTACTGATTGCATTTTTGGCATCAGTAGCGATCCCTAACCACCCCTTGATAGTTATTTTTTAAATATATTTTATGTACAGAATTGACCTCCCTACAGATTTATTATAAGTATAGATTTAGATTGTTGTAGTGACATAACTACAATAGTTGGACATATGCTACCGCGGAGTTTTTTGTACACATTATGATGTTCTTCAATATTGTTGTTCATTATTTTGTTCTATCGCTAATAGTTTCGGCAGCGCTTCGACGAAAGACATTTTAAGACTCATTTTTCTACACCTTCGGTTACATTGTTCAAATTTTACCAAGGATCCCTAATGCTTTTCAAAATGAAATGTAGCCTATGTCAAATTGGAAGAATGTAGCATTCTATTGGTGAAAGAATTTTTTAAATCGGCCCAGTACTTTTTGAGCCTAATCATTACAAACATACAAAAATAGGTACAAATCTTTCCTCTTTATAATATTAGTATAGAAAAACCGGGGGTTACTAACGTGACAATATTGAGAATAGCTCTACTAGTTTCGAGCCAGAGAGGCTCAATTCGGGCTACTCCTCCTTTCGGGGCAGCCTACTGACACTGCGTGACATCGCTGCGACCGCGCACGATGGTCATAAGGCTCGAACTCGGTTCATGACGCTCAGCTCTGTGGTTCGAAACTAGTAGAGCTTTTCTCAGTATATTCACGTGAGTAAACCGCGATTTTAGTTATTTTAACATGTCTCACGATGTTTATTATAACATAACATCATGCCTTTTATCCCCGGAGGTAGTCAGAGGTGCACATTAGAACACTTTATGCCACTGGACAATGTAACGTGAGTCCCGTGTAATAATAGGGGGTGAGCCATTCCAGACTCCGTGCTATAACTGAGAATTTTTTAAAAACCCAGGTATACTTTACCCGAGCCGGGAATCAAACCCGAGACCCCTTGCCTAACAGCCTCACTTGCGACCACTCGGCCAACGAGTCAGTCCATATATTTATTACTAGCTTTTACCCGGGGCGTCGCTCGCGTCACAAAAGGATAAAAAGTAGCCTACGTGACATATACCAATACACACAGCGCCATCTATAACAATTCTTTTGTTTTCCCTCGGGAATATCAAATTTTTCCGGGATAAAAAGTACCCTATTATTTAATCCGGACTTCTAACTTTACGTCTGCAAAAATTCAAAGCAATCGCTTTAGTACTTACGGCTTGAAAGCGGAACGAACAAACAAACTCAATTTCCGATTTATAATATTATATATAATATATATATAGTAAGAATAAAAACGTTCATATGTTAAATTGATATGACAAACAATTGGGTTGATGAAAGGGTATGAAAATAAAAAATCTAATTAGTCCGTAAGTTATGTAATGACAAAATATTAAACACGTGTTTTTTTTATTTTGTGGTATAATAAAACAATACTTAGATTAAAACGATTCAAAGTTTAGGAGTGGGGGCTAAAACGTCATTTCTACGTATAACATGTACATAGAAGTGACGTCACGCGACATTTCAAATCAATATATCGTCAAGAGTATTCGTTTCTGTAAGAAAATAAAAAATACGTGTCTAATGATTTAAAATAAACTATCAGACGGATATTAAAATAAAAATTAGGCATCTACCCTATATTATTATCTTTTTCAGATAAAGGAAAATATATAGAAATCGTTGGCTTTTCATTACCGCCTTCCAAAGTAATAGAACTGTACAACAAAACTGGATGAGATCCTTGGAAAACACAATGAAGAAAACTAACAATAAACCAAGCTAGCAATACACACAAAAGTATTATTATCTTCGACTTCTTAATACACACAAAAGTATTATTATATTATAACTACTTCTGTTCCACCTTTTCGTTTCATCCATATTGGTGGTATTTAGCTGTGAAAAAATAGATTACCTATATTATACAGTTATCAAATTCTCTTATGTATTTTTTTTAAGGGGGGAAAATTAACAAATTAGTTGTCGCGCCTAGGTGAGGCGGGAGGGAGTGTCAGCCTCTTACTGACTAAAAACCACCCCGTTCCTACTCCTGCACTTCGAGCCGGAGCCCCGGTAACCCGTTAGGTTCTCCGCGGCTCCGTATCGGCATCAGCCCTATTGGGCCCCATCCGTGGTGGTCTGATGGCTCTTTGAGGCGAGCGCGGACCGTTACGCGCCACACGCTCGGGAAATTCTCTTATGTATAGGAGGATTCTTGTGTCCAGTAGTGAACTGACAGGCAGTTGATGATGAACTACTCGTAACTAAGTAGAGACTTTATTGTGTTATTGGCGCAATACTTTACCTATCTACTGCAATGTGTTACGATATAGGTTCGAATCAGCAAAACTGTTGAAACAAACAGTGATGGAGTTAAACAGATTTGTTTATAGCAAAAACCGGTAAACGAGCAGACGGATCACCTGATGGTGAGCAATCGGCGTCGCCCATGGATACCTGGAACACCAGAGGCGTTACAATGCGTTACCGGCCTTTTCGGGATTAGGAGTTTGAGGATCGTTGGGGATTCAGGGATTGGGGAGATTGGAGAAGGGGAAGGAGGTAATTGTGCCTCCGGTAACCTCACCCACACGACGAAACACAACGCAAGCGCTGCTTCACGTCGGTTTTCTGTGAGGCCGTGGTATCACTCCGGTCGAGTCGGCCCATTCGTACCGAAACAGGGCTCTGACACACTTAAAGGTCGTTCTTTAAAAGGGCATCGGACAGATTCCAAGGATAAAAAGTTGTTAAACTATTCAGTAATTGTAATTATAAAACTAACACTTGAACGCCACGTCAAAAAATTAAATCCAATCTCCGAATTAGCAAATCACACAATATAACGTTACATCACGCCTTTAATCCCCGAAGGGATACGCAGTGGTGCACATTACGGCACTTAATGCCACTGTACAATGTAACACCCACTTTTCACTATTTATGTTATGAGTCCCATTTAATAGGGGGTGAGCCTATTGCCATATACCGGGCACAATTCCGAATTCCGTGCTATTACTGAGAATTTTAAAAAACCCTAGTCATAATTTGCCCGACCCGGGAACCCGAGACCCCTTGCCCTGCAGTCGTACTTGCAACCACTCGGCAAACGAGGCAGTTTCGCAAATCATCATAATGATAATCATTATCGAAATGTTATACCTTTTATTTCCTAAAGTGGTAGGCAGTAGGCACCAACAATTGAACACAGTCATATTTTTATTATATTAATTGAAGGCATATCAGCAATATAAACACAAACATAGAAGTAAAGACGGCCTCATTGGCTGAGTGGTTGCAAATGCGAATGCCGGGGCAAGGCGTCTCGGGTTCGATTCCAGGGTCGGGCAAAGTATTACCAGGTTTAAAAAAAAATCTCAGTATGACCACGGTAGTAGGAGTTCGAATTTAATATGCTTATATTCATACAGAATATAGATATTTAACAACACACCCTTATCCCCGAAGCGGTAGGCAGAGGTGTACATTACGGTACTTAATGCCACTGTACAACGTAACAACCACTTTACACTATTTATGGTATGAGTCCCATGTAGGCTGTTAGCCTATTGCTATATACCGAGCACAATTCCAGACACCGTGCAAACACTGAAATTTAAAAAAACAAACCTCGGTAATAATTTGCTCGACCTGGGAATCAAACCAGAGATCCCACATATATATAGACTATAAAAAAGACTATACGTTAAGACAAATAGGACCCGATCAGTAGGTAAAACCACGCGGACATAGCTAGTTGAAATTGGGTCATAATCGCGACTGTAGTACGCTGGGTATATTTTGGTTAGACTGAGGCGATTTACAGGTTTACGCTAAATATAGCCTGAGGACTGGCTCTGTTGTGTCTATTTTTAAAACGGTAAATACCAATAATAATTAACTTAATACTTATTTTTAAATATAACCTTTATTCGTTGCATGGTATACAGGATGTTCGTATTTAGTATGTTAATTGAAGAAATTTATACGTGCAAATGCGTATTATTTTCCAGTTTTTTTTTTGTCGCATAAGCCGGTAAACGAGCAGACGGATCACCTGATGGTAAGCAATCGGCGTCGCCCATGGACACATGGAACACTAGCGGCGTTACAAGCGCGTCACCGGCCTTTTGGGAATTGGGAATTTGAGGATTGGGGGGAATGTGGGGGGAGGGGGGGGGTAGGGGGGGGGGGGGTAATTGGGACGTCACTCACACGACAAAACACAACGAAAAGCGTTGTTCCACACTCCGGTCGAGCCGGCCCATTCGTGCCGAAGCATGGCTCTCTCACACTTAAAGTCGTCGAGATACGAGATATCACATTAAATTATAACTTCGACTTTATCTGAGAAATTTCAAACAAAAACTATCTCAACAATACTTTGCTCTACTATCAATTATACTTTCAACCACTCAAATTGGAAAAGAAAAGAAAAATAATAAGCGTGTATGTATTAGTAAGTATTTTGTATAGTATCCCTATTAGGTATTGGACTACCCCCATACGCAGGTTTATTTACCACCACCATATTTTGTGCCGATATTAACATTACCATCAGCTCCAAACACCATTAGCTCCGCAAGAATTAGCGCCTTCGTCATCAAACCCGAATCAATATTTGCCTCCATCGCAAGAACTATTCATCAATGGCAAGGACTATCCATAAATTTTCCTACAATAACTATTGTGAGACATGCTGAATTAATTAAAAATTACGAGATATTCACGTTAATATACTTAAAAAAGCTCTACTTGTCTTAATTCTCTCTAACTCTTTTACTTCTCTAGCCCTATCGTGGGTAAGGTAGGTACCGATAGAGATAGAAAAAGTAATAGACTACGCGATTGACAAACAGATTGACAGACAAATTATCTTGTTATAGGTATCTTACTGGCTAATCTCACGGGCTCTCAGATGCTGATTGGCTAATCTCTATAGGTACTTTTTTCAGACACATCTCAAGTTTCAGGACTCGTACGCAAAACAAAAGAATTCGTAACACAAAAAATTACGATGCGAATCGCTGCGATGCAGTTTCGTGAGACAAGGCGTCTCCCAGGGTGACCATTCCTTCGATGACCGTCAACCGTACTAAACGTATTTTAAATTGAACACTAGGTCGTGACATAGATCGTACAAAGAAGTGTGCACTTCTGTTAATGTTTAGGAGATACAGGTAAAAGAAGCAAATAAGATTTTGGGAAAATAAGATTTTGATTCTCGATGCAAATCAATTCGCAACTCTTGCGATGCATAGAGGTAGCTCGCACGTTTTTGTGATGCGATGTCGCATCGCAGTTTTGTGTACGAGCCCTCAGCCCTGCGCTATCACCCTATCACCTTTGCAAGTAGTTCAAATTTATAACAATACAATACAATTTCAAGCGCAAAAGGGATTTTTTTCTTCAAATTAGCGGTATTCAGGAATCGTAAGGTGCATATAATTCTCGTGTATTTTACAAGCGAAGTTATGATTTGTATGTATTTAATCAGTAAACACTAACAGAAACAGCCAACTGAATCACGCAAAGAGCGTGATTCAGTTGGCTGTTTCAACGTTTAAAAAAAAAGTTTTTTTTAAACGTTGCCCCACACTAGGATTATCTCCTGTGTCGTGGGTGCGTTTACAAACATACAAGTTCACATTTACATGACACCCAGACCCGAAACAACAATTTGTGGATCACACAAAGTGTTGTTCCGTGCGGGAATCGAACCCGCGACACGTTGCACGGCAGCCGGATGCCCAGCCACCGCATCAACCGTGTGTGTAACTATTTTATAAATAGTTTGTCCAAAGCGGAAATCCAAAAGTAGAACTGCTGAGTCTGTCCAGCAATCGCCTTCCTACCAACGACGTATTCAAAATGTTAAAGTTTTTTCATATAAAATATAACTTTAAAATTAAAACTTAAGTGCCAAGCCAACCCACTTACTGATTACTTTAATTACGATATTTATCAATTTTAATTAATCAAAAGTTAATAGGAACACCCTTTATACACAATTAAAAACCTATTTACATTCCAAGTACTTTATTCGTACTTTTTGGTCCTGTTTACTCACATATAAAAGAAAGACGTAAAAATATAACAACCAGTCGAATTGCGAACCTCCTTGAACGAAATCGGTCAAAAATGGGGACTAAATTCATATTTTTAGTAGTTTTATCAATTGGGGTAGTAAATATGCAGGCTTATTTACCACCACCGCATTTAGCGTCGATGTTACCATCAAATACGGATTCATTAGCTTCGAAACCTTTAGCTCCGCAAGAATTAGCGCCCCCGTCATCGACCTCGAATACATACGTGTCTCGACCGCAAGGATTATATTATTACAATAGTAATAATATTTATTTTTACTAATACGTATCTCTATATTAATTATTATTATTAAAAAGTTATATAAATATGTGGTGGCCCGGAGGTTTAAGATGCCCGCTTCTCATGCATGAGCGCTTGGGTTCAAAACCTACCAACTGCAAGTACCAATGTGACTTTTTCCGACTTATATGTACTTTCTAAGATTGTTTAGACACCACTGACAAACGGTGAAGGAAAACATCGTGAGGAAACCTGGGCTTATAATTTCTAATCATAAGTTTGAAATCACCAACCCGCATTGAGCAAGCGCGGCGATTAATGTTCAAACCTTCTTCTTGTGAGAAGAGACTTTGCTCAGCAGTGGGCATTAATAGGCTGTTGATGACGATGATGATGATGATTAGGACATTTATCAAGAAATGAAAAAGAAAAAATGCTAGTGACTTTACTAATTTGCTCC